ACAATTGCAATTGATTTCCGTAAAAATTATTTTTGGAAGCTAGCCTTGATAGCGGCTATCAAAACAAGCACAAGCTGGAGGGCCCCCAACCGAAAGAATACAACAACAACAACTACTATAGCTAGTAATAGACCGATATGCTACACTTACTGTAGATTAAAAGGTTTTTTTTTTCAGCAAGTCGACTGTGAAATGCGCTAAATCAAGTTGATTTTTGGATTTGCTTAGATTTCAATGTCTTTTATCTGTATAGGTTATACAACGGCTTTCAAAGATTTCGATTACCTTGAATATTTAGATTTATGAGTCTTTCATCTGAACTCTCAATAATTTCGAATGGTTCTTCATTATTATTCTTAACTTATACATACATATATAGCTATATTCTGCTTTTCCTGTTCTCTCTGTTTAATATTAAATATTTTGTGTACTATAAGGCCTAGAATACTAAACATTTTATTCTACTGAGGTCTATTTTATTCTACCTAATATTTTGAAAGCGGTTGGGTTTTTAAGATAATTAAGAGAATTAAAAAAAAAAGTTTCTAGAGAAACTCCTACATGTAATTATATCCTCTCTATAATACAAACTCCCAGCAGATTAGTAAATGTCTCGATTATCCTCCAAGCCTCCATTTTGAGCATTCATAGTATTACGAAAGGGTTGAGTGGCATATAGAAGGGCATATACCCTGTAAAAAATAGCCAATCACCGGGCCGCTGTCCAAAAACAAAGTAAACAAAAGCGGTCCAAGCTAAATCAGGTTTGCACAGATTCGTAGGTGCCGCTGGAGCAAGCTTAATATACAAAGTACACATAAATACCTACATCAATGTATATATATATCAAGGATCAAGGTTATCGCGCGCGCTATCAGTTACATGCGTGACGCTGGGCCGGCGGCACAGAGCGGGACGCTGCGAAATTGTCATTAAGATGGAACGTTTATCAGGTCCATCAGGTCGAAGCTCTGTAGCCGTTGCTACAGTTGACAGCAGGCGAAAGTGAGCTCAGTTGGCAATTGTCACCGAGCGGACAACACACGCAATAGATCACGATCATGTGGTGGAGGCGACAGCTAGCATCAGTCAAATTGCTGGGACGCTGTTTTAGCGCAGCGGCGAGCGGGGAACAAACCCGGCTGGGCATCATCGGTGTGCCCTTTGCCAAGGGTCAGGGCAAACAGGGCGTGGAGCTGGCGCCCGATCTGCTGCGAGAGAGCAACCTGCGCCAGGTGCTGCAGAGCAGCGACGGTGAGCACGAACAACTAAAAAAAATATTTAAAAAAAGCAAACCAAAGTCAACAATCAAAATGCAAAACAACTGAATTTTCATTTTGTTCAACTGTCATTTATTTACTATTTTATCGATTGTGGTTGCTTATCGATTACAGAGCGCCTGCTCATCACCGATTATGGGAATCTGCACTACGCCGTCGACGAGTCACTGCTGCAGCAGCAGCGCCAGCATTATTACCACATCCGCAACTATGCGGACTTTATGGCCTGCAATTTGGCGTTGATCGAGCAGGTGCAGGTGATGCTGCAGCAGAACGCACAATTTCTGACAATTGGCGGCGATCATGCCATCGGCTTCGGTGAGCGCCAACGGGCGGCAATGGCAATGGCAATGGCAGCCAGCGTTGCCAGACTTAAAACTCGAACTGTAATGATTTACCGATTTTTTGGCGCGCAGGTTCCGTGGCGGGTCATTTGCAGCACACGCCGAATCTGTCGCTGGTCTGGATCGATGCGCATGCGGATATCAATTTGCATAACACCTCGCAGTCGGGCAACATACATGGCATGCCCGTTTCATTCCTGCTGCGAGAGCTGCGCAACACCTGGCAGCACGCGGCCCTCGACAAGGTGGCGCCCAATTGGTAAGTGCGCTGCTTCTTCTTCTTCTTTATCATCATCATCATCATCACTATCCTCTTAACATATCTTGTTCACAGTTTGTCTGTGTGTTTACTTTTCTTTATTACGCTTATCATTGCTATCGCTTTTGGCTATCGATAGCACACGGCTTACATCTAAACACAACACATATGTATGTATGTATGTATGTCGGCTTTGCTGCTCTTACTTCTTCATTTTCATCATCTACTTCGCCTTGCTAGCTTAAATGGTAGTTTATATTCTATCTTTGATTGAAACTGGAAGCCAGTTTTCTTATCACAGTTTTTGTTTCACTTAACGTACTAAGTTTTTTGATTTTTGTTTTCGATTTTTTTTCGATTTTGATTTGTTTGTTGTTTACTTATTTTGTTGTTATCTTTCATAAATTTGTTTTCTATTTTCTATTATTTACTTGTCTTTTTTTTTGCTTTTTTTTTGCATTTGCATTTGCGTTGAGCTGCGTTTGGGTCTCAGTCTTTGTTTTTTAAATACTTGGTATTCTTTTCTCTTGTTTTTATTTATTATTTATAATTTCCTTTT